TTTTTCAAGAAGAATGAAGAAGAAGAATGAAAAGAAGAATGAAAAGAAGAAGAAAGAAGAAGAAAAGAAGAAGAAGAAGAAGAAGAAGAAGAAAAAGAAGAAGAAAAAGAAGAAGAAAGAAGAAGAAGAAGAAGAAGAAGAAATCTCATTCTTCTTTTTTCTTTTCTTCTTCTTTTCATTTTTCTTCTTCTTCTTTTTCTTCTTCTTGAAAAGAATTCTCTTCTTCTGAAGAATTCTTTTCATTCTTCTTTTCTTCTTCTTCTTCTTTTCATTCTTCTTCATTCTTCTTTTCTTCTCTTTCTTCTTCTTCTTCTTTCTTCTTTTCATTCTTTTCATTTTTCATTCTTCTTTTCTTCTTCTTTTCATTCTTCTTCTTCTTCTTTTCATTCTTCTTCTTCTTCTTCTTTTCTTTTCTTCTTCTTTTCATTCTTCTTCTTCTTCTTCTTTCATTCTTCTTTTCTTCTTTTCTTCTTCTTTCTTCTTCTTCTTCTTCTTTTCTTCTTCTTCTTCTTCTTCTTCTTTCTTCTTTCTTCATTCTTTCATTCTTCATTCTTCTTCTTCATTCTTTTCTTCTTCTTCTTTTTCTTCTTTTCATTCTTCTTTTCTTCTTCTTTTCATTCTTCTTCTTTTCTTTTCTTCTTTTGAAGAATTCTTCTTCTTTTCATTCTTCTTTTTCTTTTTCATTCTTTTTTTCTTCTTCTCATTCTTCTTTTTCATTCTTCTTTTCAAGAAGAAGAAGAATTTCATTCTTCTTTTCATTCTTCTTTTCAGAAAGAAGAATGAAAGAAGAATGAAGAAGAATGAAAAGAAGAATGAAAAGAAGAATGAAAGAATGAAGAAGAATGAGAAGAAGAATGAAGAAGAAGAAGAAGAAGAAGAATGAAAAGAAGAATGAAGAAGAAGAAGAAGAATCTTTTCATTTCTTCTCATTCTTCTTTTCATTCTTCTTTTCTTCTTTTTTTTCATTCTTTCTTCTTCTTTCTTCTTCTTCTTCTTCTTTCTTCTTTTCATTCTTCTTTTCATTCTTTTCATTCTTTCTTTCTTCTTCTTCTTCTTCTTCTTCTTCTTTTCTTCTTCTTTTCATTCTTTTCATTCTTCTTCTTCTTCTTCTTCTTCTTTTCATTCTTCTTTTTCATTCTTTTTCTTCTTCTTCTTTTTCTTTTTTCTTCTTCTTTTCATTCTTCTTCTTCTTCTTCTTTTCTTCTTTTCATTCTTCTTCTTCATTCTTCTTTTCATTCTTCTTTTCTTCTTCTTCATTCTTCTTTTCTCTTTTCATTCTTCTTTTCATTCTTCTTCTTTTCTTCTTTTCATTCTTCTCATTCTTCTTTTCAGAAGAATGAAAAGAAGAATGAAAAGAAGAAGAATGAAAAGAAGAATGAAGAAGAAAAGAAGAAAGAAGAAAGAAGAATGAAAAAGAAGAATGAAAAGAAGAATGAAAAGAAGAAGAAGAAGAGAAGAAGAAGAAAAGAAGAATGAAAAGAAGAATGAAAAGAAGAAGAAAGAAGAAGAAGAATGAAAAGAAAAGAAGAAAATGAAAGAAGAAAAAGAAGAAGAAGAAGAAAAAGAAGAATGAAAAGAAGAAGAAGAAAAGAAGAATGAAGAATGAAAAGAAGAAGAAAGAATCTTTTCATTCTTCTTTTCATTCATTCTTCTTTTTTCATTCTTCTTCTTTTCATTCTTCTTTTCAGAAGAATTCTTCTTCTTCTTCTTTTCATTCTTCTTCTTTCATTCTTCTTCTTCTTTTCTTCTTTTCATTCTTCTTCTTCTTCTTTTCATTCATTCTTCTTCTTTTCTTCTTTTCTTCTTCTTTTCTTCTTCTTCTTCTTCTTTTTCATTCTTCTTCTTCTTCTTTTCATTCTTCTTCTTCTTCTTCTTTTTCATTCTTTCTTCTTCTTTTCTTCTTCTTTCTTCTTTCTTTTCATTCTTCTTCTTTTCTTTTCTTCTTCTTCTTCTTCTTTTCATTCTTCTTTTCATTCTTCTTCTTTTCATTCTTCTTCTTTTCATTCTTCTTCATTCTTCATTTTTCTTCTTCTTTTCATTCTTCTTTTCATTCTTTCTTCTTTTCATTCTTCTTTTCTTCTTTTTCTTCTTCTTTTCATTCTTCAAGAATTCTTCTTTTCATTCTTCTTTTTTTTTCTTCTTTTTCATTCTTCTCATTGAATGAAAAGAAGAATGAAAAGAAGAATGAGAAGAAGAATGAAGAAGAAGAATGAAAGAAGAATGAAAAGAAGAATGAAGAAGAAGAAGAAGAAGAAGAAGAAGAATGAAAAGAGAAGAATGAGAAAAGAAGAATGAAAAAGAAGAAGAAGAAGAAGAAGAATGAAAAGAAGAAGAAGAAAGAATGAGAAGAAGAATGAGAAATGAAAAAGAAGAATGAAAGAAGAAGAAGAAGAATGAAGAAGAATGAAAAGAAGAATGAAAAGAAGAATGAAAAGAAGAAGAAGAAGAATGAAAAGAAGAAGAAGAAGAATGAAGAAGAAGAATGAAAAAAGAAGAAGAATTCTTTTCTCTTCTTCTTCTTTCATTCTTCTTTCTAAATTCTTCTTCTTTTCTTCTTCATTCTTCATTCTTCTTTCTTTTCATTCTTCTTTTTCTTCTTCTTCATTCTTCTTCTTCTTCTGAGGATGAGGATGAGGATGAGGAAGAAGAAGAAGAAGAAGAAGAAGAATCACATGTAGGATGAAAATAAGAAGAATTCCAAGCCGGGAAAAAAGTGTATCTGTCAGAAATAGAGGAGCTCTCTGCAGATACACTTTTTGCCGGCTTGAATCTTCTTCTTATTTTCATCCTACTTCTTCTTCTTCTTCATCTCATCCTTCTCCTCCTCATCCTCAGAAGAAGAAGAGGATGAGGATGAGGATGAAGAATGAAAAAGAAGAAGAAGTAGGATGAAAATAAGAAGAATTCCAAGCCGGGAAAAAGTGTATCTGTCAGAAATAGAGGAGCTCTGCAGATACACTTTTTGCCGGCTTGGAATTCTTCTTATTTTCATCCTACTTTTTCTTCTTCTTCTTCTTCATCCTCATCCTCATCCTCTTCTTCTTCTCTTCTGAGGATGAGGATGAAGAAGAAGAAGAAGAAGAAGAAGTAGGATGAAAATAAGAAGAATTCCAAGCCGGCAAAAAGTGTATCTGCAGAGCTCCGCTAAGTGTATCTGCAGAGCTCCGCTAAGAATCTTCTTCTTCTCATCCTTCTTCTTCTCATCCTTCTCCTTCTTCTCATCCTTCTTCTCATCCTTCTCCTTCTTCTCCTTCTTCTCATCCTCTCTTTCTCATCTTCTCCTTCTTCTCTCCTTTCTTCTTCTCCTTCCTTCTCCTTCCTTCTTCTCATCCTTCTCCTTCTTCTCATCCTTCTCCTTCTCCTTCTTCTCATCCTTCTCCTTCTTCTCATCCTTCTTCTCATCCTTCTCCTTCTTCTCATCCTTCTCCTTCTTCTCATCCTTCTCCTTCTCCTTCTTCTCATCCTTCTCCTTCTTCTTATCCTTCTCCTTCTTCTCATCCTTCTCATCCTTCTCCTTCTTCTCATCCTTCTCCTTCTCCTTCTCCTTCTCCTTCCTCATCTCCAAGGGCATTTAAATTAAAGGTACAGTGTTCTGCACTAATATAAAGGCTCTCTGAAGCCTAGAAACCCTTTTTATAAGTTAAATTCGCAGCGAATAAATTCGCATCAAATCGAATTTCTTCCTCAAATTCGGCGAATCAGCCGAATCGAATTTTTGAATAATTCGCTCATCTCTAATAATGATTCGTGGGGAAATTCATCATCAGACACTGAAAACGATTCTGTGACTGAGCTCAGTGATGTGCGAACTTGGCGCTATATTTCAAATTTCAGTGTTTTGGTTTGATTCCATTATTGAATTAAATTTATTATTATTATATTATTATTTTTTATAATTATTTATTATATTATAATTTATGATTTCGTGTTTCAAACTTTATCATACCCGGGATGTTTACTAGACTCTTGTTCACACAGATTTAAGTGAGTTATTCCTAAGAATTACAGGCCTACCATAAAAAACAACAAATTTACATGCAAAGCAATGTACCGCTTTGACATTCAAAAATATTGATTAGTTAGACCACGAGGGAGGTTAAGTGATTTTGGAAAGTGAGAGAAGTCGGAGGAGAAAAGAACATTGAAAAGTGCACTTTTTCTTTAAGAATCTTTGTCTTGTTTCTTAATGATATGTCTCCACTCTGCCACGTTTTTGCATTTTTGCCTATGTAAGTAGAATTCATGCAAAACAATTCAGACTGAAAATGCCAGACACATAAAGCTGACAATTTAGTTGTCTAAAATAGAATCTTATATTGTGAATATGCTTTTGTCGTTTAGGAAACAAAAAGAAGCAATGAAGTCAAGTTTGTTAGCAGCAGCCAAGCAACTGAGCAACACGAATCCCAATTTTCAGCCAGTAATACAGAACAGGTATTATACAAATATTCATTAGCATGTTGTGTATTTAAATTATTTGCAAGTCTGCACATGAATATAACTATTACAACTCCTTGTATAAAAAATAGTTTTATACTTAGCATAACTCCCCTGAGCCACCACAGTGTGTCCATTTATTTATTGATGCTGGGGATAGTGTTATATTTTTAATGCCGTCATTTTCCTTACCTAGGTGTCGGTTCAGGAGCAAAGCACCCATGAGAAACGCTCAGCATCTAATTATAATCAAGAAGCTGACGGCGTTGGTAAGAATCCTGCTTTAAATATAAGCGGTACAACCAAGTTAAATGCACTGGGGTAGCAAATTGAAGTCTTGTAAATTTCACGAGAACGTTTACTGATGAGAAAATATTTAAATCAATGATGACAGAAAGCAATGCTCTAAGATGAGACCCAGAGGGATAAAAATCATAATTGATTTTACACATATCACACATAAAGTACACCTGACTTTCTTGAAGCAAATAGTATGATGAAAAGGAGGAAGGTTAGGACCGTTGTTCAGGTTTCTGTAACAAATAAGCGTACTTAAAGTGTTACCAAAACCACAACAGTAAAATCAGTCTGTATATGCAGTAAAGCATGCTTGTTATACTCACTGTGGAACCCAAGGGGTTAATCCTCCACATTGTGTAAAAAGCCTGTTTGATCCTGTCTTCTCTGATCCTCCCCTTCTTCCACAGTTCCCAATCTATCTGCTGATAATAGAAAGCCCTAGGAGACACTCTGCACATGCTCAGTTTGGTGTGTATGGAGAGCTTTCTTTTTGGGAAGGTGCATGTGTTCGGCACAGTGCCAATCAGCACTGTCTGGACAGAGGGTCAGGCCCCATAGGACAGTCAGAGGAGAATGATTACTTCTCTTACAAGAATAACCAGTGCTCATACAGACACTGATAGAAGTCACAAGACTGCTATATACTGCTGATGATAAAAGGTATTTAGCAGTTTATATTTACTACAATAATTGCATTTACATGTTCTGTGTACTGTGGGAGATCAAATATAGTGAATGCAGGGTCCTAGGATTAGTAACACTTTAGGAGTGGCAAGGGGCTTTGAACCCGGTCTGGTTTTCATTTCTCTCTCTGTCCCCATTTGGGAGATTCATTTCTGTTTGTCCTGGTGACTACTGGCCCTGGAATTAAAAGTGAGGGCTAAACCAAAATGTTAGTTCAAGAATAGTAGTAGTAGTGAAATGTTGTAATGGGGGCAGGTATTCCAGTGACAAATGTTTAAGAGGACACTTCTATTAGTGTTGTGTCTACAAGATAGGAAATGAAGGAAGGTTCCTCCCAATGGGACACAGATGAAAATAAAAACAACAAACTTAAAAAATCTCCTGGTTTTAACTGCTCCATAGTCTATAGATGAAACATAGGGCTGGGCTTGATGTTTGAGTCGGACATAAGTTCAACTCGAACATTGGCCGCTCGTGTGTTCGGCGAACACATGAACGTTAAGGGCGTTTCTGTGGGCTGTTCACCCGCTGTGCCCTACAATGCGCTGCGCCCTGACAGTGCATTGTGATTGGCCAAAGCAATGCACCTGACCACAGGACTTGTCAAAGACTGCCTTCTGTTATTTTTTATGCTACTTTTTTTTTGTTTGTGAATAGCGGTATCATGTACTCATTCACTTGGGGGGTGGGTGTGATTTGGGGGCCCCCTTGTTAAAGGGGGCTTTCAGATTCCAATAAGCTCCCCACCTGCAGACCCCCACAACCACTGGTCACGGGTGGTGGGGAAGAGGCCCTTTTCCGCATCAACATGGGCCCCCCTGCCCAAAAGCACCCCCCCCACGTTGAGGGCAAGTGGCCTGGTATGGTTCAGGAAGGGGGGGATGCTCATTCATCCCCCCTTTTCCTGACCTTCTGGGCTGCATGCTCAAATAAGGGTCTGGTATGGATTTTGGAGGGGACCCCCACGCCATTTAAAAAAAAAGTTTGTCATGGGGTTTCCTTTCAAAACCCATACCAGACCTAAAAGGACTTTTTAAAAAAAAATTTGAATTGCCGGCAGTTTTTTTTACATTCAGCTGCCAGCTGGGAACCCTACTGACAACTCATGGGGCCCCCCTGGCAATAGGGGATCATGGGGCCCCTGTGTCCTTGCCCAAACTCAAAAAAAGCCTATGAAAAAGGTACCAGGGGCATCTCATGGGTCCAATACTGACCCCGGGCCCTCGGGCAGTGCCCGAGTTTCCAAATGATCAGTCTGCCCCTGGTTTCCACTGCTAAAATACCGCATGACTTAATAATATAACTCATGCAGTGTTTTAGTAGTTGTGTGATATCTTACTGCATACTCATATGCGAATTGTCTCTGTTCAAAGTTCACAGTCGAACTTTCATTAGGTTCAAATGTTCTACCGCGAATCAAACAGGGGGGTGTTTGGCCCTTCACTAATGAAAAAGAAGCTCCAGGGATCTTTATAATATCAAGTGTAGGCAGCATACTTTAGAAAGAAAGATGGTGGGGAGGGGGAGCATGACACAATAATGGGCAGCTTTCATAAGAAGTGTTGAAGAAATGTAATAACTGTACTGTCCTGGTCAAGCCTGGCTATATGAACTATGCTTTTTTTCTGGTACAAAGTACCTTTTTTTATTTTGTACTACATTTTATTGTGAGAATGCAATTAACAAGAACAATGGCTGCAACATTTGGCCAACAAGTTTAATCAACAAAGACAATATACAGTATGTTGGTATAAGTTGAGTTAGACCTAGCAGTGCTGAGTCTAGTGGTCTACATTAAGAAATATTTGAATGGGTAGCGGGCAGACTAGTTAGTAGTTAGCAAAGGGAAGAGGAGGAGGCCTCAATTTTTAGATTAACATTTGTAATTCAATTTAAGAGAGCCATAAATGTCAATTGTAGGATCATTGGCTAGGAGTCTGAGTAGATACTGCTGAGTACGTTGGAAGCATTTCATTATAGATTGTTGAGTTTCTACAGGCAAGGTTTGAATGAAAGTTTCCCAAATGTTGAAGAAATTGTGAATCTGTATTTCCTTATACAGGGAGGCTTCCACCCATTCCATGAGAAAAAAGTAGGATGATTTAGCTATAAATAAAGAAATAGTAGGGTTTCTGGGTAGATCCATTTATGTAGAATTGCCTTCCATGCACAAAGGACCTGTTTATCTGTACATGTCTGGAGCATGAGGGATTTGGCTTTAAGCCTCCAACTATTCCAAATTATCCCCACTTAGAGTATTAGTTCCATTACAGATACATCCCTTGGGCTTTACAATTTAATTCTGTGTAAGCTTGTCCTGAAAGTTGAAAGTTTTTAGAATCACTGACAGACTTAAATGTAACATGTGTTGTTTAACATTTTTCTACTTTGTATATTTAAAATGGTTTTAAAAATGAGAAACCCTAAAAAAAAAATTATTATATTGCAGCTTACCAATTCTTAGATGAGGTGGCTACATTAGGTTCCTTTTTTTAAGTTTTTTTTCCCTTTATTTTCAAGCTGTTGATTCTGCCACTTCCTAACAGACCAAGCTGTTCAGCAAAGTTGGCAGCTAGAGGGTTGAGACAAACAATTTTACACAGGGTTGCTTTAAGTGGTTGTAAATGGCTCCCAGTGCCCCAGCAAAGTCTGTGAGACATGGAACTGAGGGAAGAGAATGCTCCAGATGTGCACAGCACTGGATTGAATGTGGGCACAGGTAAGTAAAAGGGGGGAGGGGGGGATACTGATGCCTAAACATTTTTTTACCTTGATGCAAGGAATGCATTAAGGTAAAAAATGGTCAAGCTTTATAACCACTTTTAATAGTCTGCTTTTTTTTCATTTATGTAAAACCTTTATCCCAAATAGAAAAAACTGTTACTGTAACTGCTGTAATTGTTTAATTTTGTTAGCTGGAGTTTGGCTTTAATGTAGACAAGTCCATCAAACTGGCTAGTGCATCTCCCCAGATTGACAATACTGCTGTCCAAAGTTGTCTCCATTGCTTTTCCATCCAGCATATAAAAAGAAAACTAATGCAGACACCATATTTAAGCATTGGTAAGCTGCAATACATGCTTTGGGGAAGGGGGGGTGTTAATACTGCTTTATTTCTGTTGATTACATTTTTATTCTATAGGTTACCAAGAACTTCCAAATGTTTCTGCTCAAGTTCTAAAGGAACAATTTGAGAAATCTCTCACGGAAAAAAGCACTAGCTTTGGCGGAAGTGTCACCTCACAAGGGAAATATACAAAGGTAATTTTTTTTTTAAAACTTAATAAAATGTGTCATACTAGTAAGCAAAACAATGTTGTTGATATCATAAAATAGAACAGGATAATATGTCTTTGAAGTGATATCATCTCCAGTTAAAATATGTGTTCAAGCTTAAATCTCTGAAGGTTAGAATTTTTATCTTCATTATTTTCCCTGCTTCAAGCTTATCTTTTCTCATTTAACAAATTATCGTTCTTTCCACTGATACTATTTTCTCAGTAGTTGTTCATGACTTTCTCAGGGATAAACACATAACTAGTATAAAAATTCAGAATAGGCACATATAGCTCTGCGGTATTTCAATGAAAAAAAATTCCAGTGTTAACATAATTAAATTTATATTTATACATATTCAGTCTATCTCAGAAGGGAAAATCAACAACAGGTATTTAAAGCACATGAAATATTAGAATTGAATATTTTTTTTTATACTTTTCTAAATCTGAAGGAGGATATTTTTCTGCACACAGCTGACTTCCTCTTAGTAGCTCTCTTAGTAGAAGCAAGGGTCAGTCACTATAGTTACATACAAGAGAATACTGTCAACTTTAATTTTAAAATATCTGAAAACTGAATTAATTTGGAAATTTTCATGTATATCACTTCAAATTGTTATTTTACAAACAACTGACAAAATGTTTTAAATATAATTATTTTATAGCAATATCTAAAAATAGGTATAATCGATAGAATATATACAACAATATTGTGCAGCAAATGTATGCACATAGTACAGGTAAAATAAAGCTATGTATTTTCTCCCCTGAAGATCTATAATGAGCATCCAGAATTTGAGTGGCCAGTGGTTAATGACAAAAGCTGTAGCTCAACAAGCAATGTCTACGATTCGATGAGTTCAGCACTGAAAACAGGACGTTCTTCAAAGTCTTCTAGCACTAAATCTGTTCATTTTGGAAGTTTAGAAGAGTTCCCACCTCCTCCTCCACCAGATATTTTGGAAACGTCCGATATAGCAGATTTTTCCCAGTCCCCAGAACCTCCCAGCCCTCCTGAAAGACCTCTCTCACCTACTACAACCAAAGATGTGTACTCAAAACAAAGGAACTTATATGAGTTGAAACGTTTATATAAGCACATTCATCCAGAAGTGAGAAAGAACTTACAAAAAGAATATGTCACTGAAGTTTCTGAGATTGTAAGCAGCCAGTCTGAACAAAAAGGTGATGTGCGACAAGCAAAATATGTGTTTGAACACCCATCAGGAAGTCCACAGAAATGCCTCAGCCCAGAAAGAGAGTACTTAGAATGGGATGAGATTTTAAAGGGAGAAGTGCAGTCAATGCGGTGGGTCTTTGAAAATCAACCTTTAGATTCCATTAAGGAGGAGTCACCTGAGCAAAGCCATATCAAAAGTATTGGTGAACAAGAAATTATTGCTGGTGGAGATGTCAAGTATGCAACCTGGATGTTTGAAACACAGCCAATTCATGCCCTTGGTACAGGTACCTCCAGTTCTTCAGAAAATGCTGATAAGGTTCCAGATTTGGCAAGAGAGATGTCCGAACAGCTACATGGTTATTTGAAACTCAGCCATTAGATGCACTGAATAAACTTTACAAAGAA